GCGTTTCGTCTAAGTCGGTGAAGGCTGGTTTTACCCGTTCTAACGTGACGGTGCCGCGTTCGCCTTCTTTGTCGATGACCATCGTCCTACCCGAACGGCGCAAGACTCGATGTGGTCCTGTGTAAGGTGTTTGTAACGAAGTGCGTACGGCATCCGTGCAAAGAAAAACATAAGGGCAAGTGGATAATTCTGCAGGTTGATGAACCCGCACCACCCGCTCCCTCGTCTGAGCCGGTTTAAGCTGGCGCATATGATGCTTAAGGCGCTCTACAAAATCCCCATATTCGAAATCGGTCGGTTTTAGTGGAGCGACTAACTCGCCAGGTAGACGTAGACAACGACCGTAAACTAGTTCGGCTGGTGATGCGTTTAAATCGTTTTTCAATGCAGCTCGAACCTCTAGCATGACCAACGGCAAGGCTTCTGACCAGCGCGGGTTTTCTGACGCCCGCAGGGCAGCCTTGAGGTGTCTATGGAAACGCTCCACCATGCCATTTGCGGCAGGGTGGTAGGCTGTCGTCTTATTATGTTTTTGTGCCTAGGGTGTCCAATAGCTTGGAGAATGCTCCTTTGAAATGTGCTCCTCGGTCGGTTGTGACGATTGCCGGACAACCGAAACGTGCGACCCACTGACTGAGGAACGCGTAGGCTACGATTTCCGAGAAGCACCCGTGGATTGGGATGGCTTCTGGCCATCTTGTGAAGCGGTCAACGCATGTCAGTAAGTATATGGCGTCGCCTGACCTGGGATGAGGTCTCACGATGTCTGCATAAACGTGGTGAAGACGTGCATCAGGTGTGGGGAACGAACCTATTACTGGACGTGTATCTATGTACCTCAGAACGTTGGCACTGAAGGCAGTTTCGAGTCCATACGCGCACATCACGATTAACGTGACGCCAGACGAAACGAGAAGCGATTAGTTTGACGGTGGCGCGGATGCCTGGGTGTGAGTTAACGTGAATCTGATCGAAGATGAGTCGTTGAAAAGTTTCGAGGACTACTGGCCGTGGCCTACCTTGGCTGACATCGCAAACAACAGGGTGTTCTGAACCTGGGATGAGCACTGGCTCTAGGCGCAGAGAGCTATTGTGACGCAATGGTTCTATTTCGGGATCCGTACTCTGCGCGGTTGCAAGAGCAGTGAAATCTATCGGTGTCGATAATGTGTTAAGCGAAGCGATGCGTGATAACGAATCGGCGACGGGGTTGTCGACACCTGAGACATGGCGTATGTCGCTCGTGAACTGAGTGACATGGCCCAGGTATCTTATTTCCAGTGGAGAATATCTGTCAGAAGGTGAACGTGAGGCGAAAATTAACGGCTTATGGTCGGTAAAAACGATGAATGATCTGCCTTCTAACACGTGTCTGAAATGGCGAATGGTAAAATAAACGGCTAAAAGTTCCCTGCCGAATACACTATAGCGAGACTCGGCAGGTTGTAATCGTTTCGAGAAAAATGCTATATGTTGCCATCGATCCTCAACGAATTGTTGGAGCACCGCGCCTACAGCTAGGTCCGAAGCGTCGGTAACGAGAGCTAGCGGTGCGTCCGGGTCGTGGTGTGCTAAAGCAGCTATGTTAGCGATGGCCTTTTTTATCGCAGTGAAAACGGTTAGGGCTGACGTCGGGGATTCAAAACGTTTTCGCTTGCCTTTGAGAAGGTCAAATAGAGGTTGCATCAATGTTGCGCAACCCGGTATGAAACGATGATAAAAGTTTACTAATCCAGCGGAACAGCGTAGCTGTTGAAACGATGAAGGTGCTGGATAGTCCACGATGGCCCGGATTTTGTCCACGAGAGGTTGTATTCCAGCGGCCGAGACGATGTGGCCTAGGAAAGTAACGG